AAATTTGAATCACACATTCTTAAAGCTATGTTTTGCTTCATGTGCTGAAGGATAAAATGAGATCACTTAAACTGTTCTAGTGCATTACTAAAGGAAAACCCAGCAAATTTGATTCCTCAACTTCTCTGTAGTATTTTTTTGCCCTCCTTTAGCTGTAATAATCTCCAGTAATGAGATAAAATAAATTCACAATATTTTGCAGAACATGACCATGAGGCATATGAATGTGAGTTGTAAAAATATATATTTTTTATTATTCATTTAAAATAGATATGGATTAAATAATTTCATGTATTCATCTCCAGTTTATTAAAAATGTTTCATACAAAAAAAAAAATCTGTTTTGAAAAAACACCAGTAATTGAATTTCCATTTTTCAGCCAATTTATGACCAAAAAGGACACCTTTTCTGTTAATCTGTTCATCTAGAGCAGGTTATGAAGCATCACAGACATTTTCTACTACGATCTAATTACGCTGGTAATTAGATCGATCAGAAATGATTCCCATGAGATCATCTGAGCATCATCTCAGATCTGGACACTGTACTCAATGCATCTCACTTTCCTGGGAGCTGACAGCGTGTTAAAGAGTTATGGAGGCTTTCAAATGCAATTGTGAACACTACAGGTCACAGACGACTGCAGTTGAACCTCTGGTGCAGAGGAAAGGGTGCTCCGAGAGGCGGATGTTCAGCTGGAGAATGACGCAAGGAGGAGCTTTGTGGAAATAGGCGGTGCTTTGTGGTAATAAGCATTTAAGCAGCCACAGGAAATTCTATGATTTCTCAAACATACATGTAAGAATTAAAGCAACACGTCGGGTATGTTTTTTATAGGATAAATATATGTTAGAAAGCAAGATTGGACTCACCAGGAAAGGTTAGTTAAAGTCAAAGCATTAAGTTTGTATGTTCTAAATGGACCTATAGGTATTATTTCTCTTTAATTAAAGCCTGTGCCACCTTCATGGAACACACCATTGCATCCTGACCCGCCAAAATTGCAGCAGAGACAGCATCCATATAAAGACTGTAACTGGCTGTCACAAATGTCACACTTGCTTTCTCACTCCTGAACTAAGTTGGCAGCTGGAGGAGGTCAACAGATTTGTGTAGGGAGAAAAATTCTGCAAAGAAGTTCAAGAGGATTATTTTGACTTCGTGTGTGCCTTTGTGTGCACATCAGTGTGTACAGACTTGGTAGTTAGTTGTTCAATAGGCACTAGTAGGAATATTTACAAGGAAAGAACCTAAACAGAAAATTGCCCAAAATAATTCTTGCAATATGGATATAATATGGGCAGCATACATCAGTGGCTGAATTTTGGCAATAAATTAAATGACCTAATGATCAAGGCCGTCCATCTTTAGTTGCAATGTATCTGCCTTCCTGTCCAATGTATTAATCAGCATCTGTCAGGTGAAGCCCTTCTAGCTCGTTTACTAATTTTGGTTCTCTACTGTGCTCAACAGTACACATTTACAAAACTGCCCTGCAGACATCTGAGCTACCTGGATTAAAGATGGTGCAGACTCCCTGAAGCCAAGTAGTACTGGACAACTGCTATTTATCCAGAATGCTGATAAGCTACCCTTCACTTCCCGGGGCGAGTTACTTTTAGCTGACCTTTGTGAAAGACTGAAAAATCTGCAGAGAAATTTCACAGCGAACATGTTTAAAAGATGTCTTCTTTTAGATTCATAGAACCATAATATCAGGTTTTTACCTCTGTCACATTATTGCATGTCTGACTTTTGCTTTAATGGCTTAGGAAGACTTGATGCCATATATTATGCTGCAGCATATGTTTAACTACACATTTGGCAATTTAGTCTGCACATTGTGATCGCCAGATGAGCTGGGCTGCCACGATTTTTTTTTAAACTCTAGAATATACAATACTGCTGCAGATTTAAAAGACCATGTAATCTGCACATGAACATCACTGTTACAGGATTTGTGCTATTTCAGATCAAATTTCAAAGCAACAAAAAAAAAAAAAAAAAAACAACAAAAAAAAAACATTATTTAATGTTAGACATTACTGCGGTTTCTGCACTAATGAAAGTTCACCGACCATGGCATGCCAGGTGCTGGAAACTGAAAAAACCCCCTGATGTCTTGACCCTACAATATGAATAATTTTACTATTTTGCTGGACAAGTAAGCTGGACAAGCCTTTAACCCTCCTATGTATTGAAAAAAAAACAACAAAAAATAAGGATAATAATCAGAGGTGAAAGAGGAGTATGTGAGGATTCCTTGTGTAGAAGCTACTGAATGAGAAGCTTTTAGAATGAGTTGTGAGCTTAGAGTGGGAGTCCGTAAGCATGGTCTCTTTCACAAAATGTAATTATTCTATAATTCCACTAAATATCTGACCATTTAGAGGCACTTGTAGAACACTGAAATTTATTACCAAGATAATGAGATGATGATTAAATATGAAAAGGACAAATAAAGGAAGACAGTGATGTGACAACAAAAGTAACAAACAATGGGGCAGTTTGTGATGAACCAGTGCACCGCACCCCACATTTTGTGGCCAGTAATCCTCAACAAAGCCCTCTGAAATGTGCTTCCCAGCCTTGAGACTTGTATTACCACCTTCTTTCTCTGCCCATTTCCTGTCTCATTACTGTCAATAATGGCCACTATTGCTACAGATCATTGTCATGGTCAATAAACCAGTTTGACATGGCATTAGCTTTTGGACATGGTGCATTACCCTGCTGGAAGTTCACATAAGAAGATGGCAAATAGTTGCAAATGATCATCAACAGCAAAAAAAAAAAAAAAAAAAATTTTCATTACTAATACTTTGTTTATAATATTGAAACGTGCATTTGTTTTGAGAAATTCCTTTGTTATTCAGATTTATCGATAATATTCGGCCTTTATTTGGTATTGGAAGTGGTTGTGATAATAACAGAATGTCCTGGTAATATTTATAATAATAAGTTTGCACCTTTTTGGAAGATATTTATTTCAGTCCAACATGCTGGAGCCGAGTAGTCCAGTAATTTTTCCTGAACATTACAGGAAAAATGTGTTAGGAGGTGGTCATCCATCCATTTCTTGGCATGCAGTCCAAATATTGCATGTGCTGCAATTTTTAGAAAGAATAATGAAGCGTATTTATTGTTTCATTTCTTGTCCATTCTGTACCTGGGAAGAAACAAAAGTAGACCATCTGTATATTTTCCAGGTCACAGTTTCATGTGAGAACTTTATGATATTGAGATTACATGAGTTGTGGCTTTTAAAAATTTGGTGTAATGTATGTTTCACTTTTCTCGTAAGATATAGGAGCTCTTATGCAGCTATATTTCTTGAAACAGAAGGGCAGCTTTAAAAGGTTTTCATTACTGAAAAGGTCAGTGCTTCCAGGTGTGACAGATTACCACAGCCAACACTGAAGAGTCTAAATCATAGGAAGGAAACAGCTTACAGATACAGTATGCATATTAATATGCTTGGATGAACTGTACCTAATTGGGGTATAGTATTTTGTGTTTTTATTTATCTTGTATTACGAGGAAGTCCCTTGTGATTAACATCCCTTTCAAGAGAATAACCTGAACAAGAGGGCACACTATTACCAACTATAAATTACTAGATAAGTCTGACAATGACATTCAAATTCATGATCAAAGGAAAACCAATGAGTCAGTTTGATATAGGTAAAAGGTCCAGCAGAGAAATAGCAATTACCCTGATTAGCTATGGAGGTCTTTGAAAGAGCTATAAACTCTCTGTTAGACATCACTATAGGAAACTGGAGATTTTAGTATGACCAATGTGCAGAATAGGAAGAGCAGAGTTCCCTTTGTTATGATACATAACATTATGAATTTTTTTCCATTTTGGATACTTCATTAACAGTATTTTATTATCTTTTGGGAGATGTCTGTCTCATTTCAATCAAAACTCCAACTTGGTGGTTTATTTAAATAATTTTAAATCAGCTAGATTTGGTAAAGGTGCAGTTTTACTTGTTTTCCAGCCACATAGTGTCATTTCACTGTTAAGTGACTGATAACTTCAGGTTTTGGAAAAATGCTGTATATACCAAATATGACTTAAAATAAATATGACTTTGTAATTAAAGGAGTTTATTTTGTTAATCACAGTTTTACTTTTTTATTCTTATTTATTTATTTCAGAATCTGTGTATATTGTTTATAATTTATTTGTTTCCAAAATGTGGTTTATTTTGTGACACTTATTTTGTAAAGCTACTTTAGGTATTTCTGAGAATTTTTTCTTTAACTCCGTTTCAATTGCAGGTTCTTTTTAATTCATGTTCTTTTTTTTTTCAAAAGACAAGGCAGAGGTTTTTCTGTGGTGCAGGTCTGGTCAAGGTCTGAAGCCAAGCATCTGATTCTACTTTGTCGTACCACGGTAGTTTTCCCCAACATAATTTGTTTCTTCTGTGCATGCACTTTTATTTTGAAATTTGAGTCTACAAAAATATATCTTGCAACATATTTCAGGATAAAAAATTAAGTAAAGCTATTTCTGACTAAACAAGCTCTCGATTATGAATATATATTTAATAGGGACATTTATTTATTAATAACAATATTGATTTAATTTTGAATGAATCAGTTCTTGATTTTTGTCTAAAGGGAATTTCTTAACCGGCCAAAACCTCCACCACTCAAACCAATATCACGACGTCTTCTGCTATGTTTGTTTTTGTTTGTGAAGAAATTGTTGCATATCTGGCAAGATTATTCCAATTTTTAACACTTTTTGTAATGCCCGATAGTATGCATGGCAAATTTGTTTGTGTGTGTGCCTGTTTGTGAGAGCTTCTCTCTCTCTCTCTCTCTCTCCAATACCCCAAGCGGTGGCTAGGGGGTGCAATGTGGACACAGTGTGTGTACGTTTGACAGAGAGAGAGAAGGGGGAGATAGAGCGAGTGTGTGTGTGTGTGTGTGTCTCCGTAATGTATTCCTGCCTGTGGCTGGGCTGGTCACATGGGGAGAGCAGCCTGTTTAAAACAGCCTCAGCTCTCTCAGTCAGAGCAGTGCAAGGCACAGAGACAGACACTCACACTCTCTCTGCCTTCCTCCACGCACACACTGACACATGCTCATGCACGCAGAAGGCAACTTCCCTCTATCGGACTGACACTACACACTCGCCAGGATAGCACACTCCCATTCCCCACTGAAGAAGAGGATAAGGAGTGACAGATCAGGAAAAAAGAAAATACAGAAAAAGCTAAAGATTCCCAGTGAGTAGCTGATTTCAATTATCATCTCTTATGTTTGCATTTTTTTGGGAGGGGGGGACTTTGCTCCACTTCAGCGCTCTTTGGCTGAGATCCTGACAGAGACTCTGAGGGGAGAAAGTGAGTCTGATTGACGGAAGTGTGCAGAGACATACAAGGAAGATGAAAGAAGGGTGACAGAAGTGAGAAGAGATGTGGAGCTAGTGCAACCGTTGACTACCTCTTCATCACGCTCTCCCTCTGTCTGTGGGATCTAATGATGTTAATTAGCAGTGTGCGCTTGGAATGACAGGAATGTCTTTGCACAGAGCTGGAGTAGAGTCGGCTTTGGACTCTTGCTCTGTGTGTGTTCAGACTCGTACTCTGTCAGAATGATGTTGAGCAGATTTCCTGAAACCAATTGATATCCATTTGGAAGTGGATAGACTGGCCAATTCACTCCGGTAATAAGAGGGATGAGCATCTCTGTGACTGTCTATCCATATGTCCCACTATGTCCTTTACATTCTTCTTTTCCTTTCTTCCCTCCCTCAGTATTCTTTGTCTTTGTGTTGCTTTTGCTCCTGTCACTTATGTTTTTCTGACACGCTGTCCAATTTCTCACTCTCCTCCCATGTCTCTTTCATTGCATTAACTTTCTCTGCTTTTCACCAGCCACCTTCTGTTTGTCTGTGTTGCCCAAGCTGTAAGTAGTATTTTTGTCGCCCAACCCGCTCCTGTATGCTGATATAGCTGGTATAGATTCTTCAGTTACGCTGAAACGGAGAGGATCGCAGAGTTGCGAGGAGGGCAGAATGGGTAGTGAGAGAGGGGGAGAAGAAAGAGAGGAATGACAGAGAAAGTGGAAAGACTGGGGAAGGCTGGGGAGGGGGGCATTGAAAAGGCTGACACTGGCTTGGACAATTAGCCCAGGGAGTCTGTCCTGGGGTGCTATTCTGAGAGGAGCTTTGGCCCCTGGGCCCTGGGCGTTGGGTCACGGGATGCCTTGACCCTTCCAGTCGACAGCTAGGCATGGGAGCCATTATCACAGCCTGATTGATTAGCAGTGAGCGGAAATCCCTTTTCTCCTCAGTCCTTGGGAGAAAAAGACAACGTTTTTGTCCTTTTACTGCTGCAGGTTTAGTGTCTGTCTGTTTAAATACTGAAACCTCTCAAAAATGTTTTTTTTTCTTTGTTACCTGTTGATTTACTCTTTATACAATCCTGAAAGCAGAGCTGCACAGCAATTTGAATCATAACTGAAATGTATGAAAAATCACAATCTCAAAGCACAACCTATATGCAAAATTTACATGAACTTACATTGACTTTTATACACGTGAGATAGATCTTAATAACTACGATACTAAGACTCGCAGAGGGTTGTGTAGACCTTGTAATCCTGGAAAAGAAAGCAAATAATGTGGAGGGGAAAAAAGCTATAAAAGTCTTTCCGAAATTCAAACATTATACCACAATGGCATGTTTCATGCATTTTCAGTAACTTCAGTATTTTATTTTTTTTTTAATTTGTCACGTCAGATAAGTTGTCATGACAATTTCTGATATTCAGAAATCTGATCTGAGGTTGTTTTCACATTAGACGCTTTCTTTAGCCTCAGAGTTTTGAGCTGTGCACCTGCAGTGATTTGTTGGTGGTGCATTCAGAGGCTACCTGGAGGTGATGGAAGGGAGGGAGAAAAAACAAAGACTTAAGGCAACATTGTGGGAATCAAGTGATGTTGAAAAGAAAAGAAAAAAAAACTAAAACTTGATGAAAGTAGAATGGTGTCAGAATTGTGGGACATATCTTTAATTTACAGAGTTGTGCTTCTCTTTTCTTGTGCACAAGTTTTTATCTCCTTGGTCAAATGTCCCTCTAATTCCAGCTACTTTTGCTTTCCTCTAAACATGCAACCCCCCTCCGCTCCTCCTTCCCGACTACGCTTCCTCAGACTGGGGGTTTGGTGGGGTGTTTAGCCCAGCTCACGGCTGATCAAAGCAGTATGTGTCAGACTGGGCTTAGCCCCGGTGCTCCTAATGGAGCACCGTTTTCATGCCTAGTTGGTGGTGGAGTGGGAGGGATTGATAGGAGGGATGAGGGGACAGGGGAAAGAAGAGGAGGAGGGTGTGCAAGTAGAAAGACTGACAGAGAGAGTCCGCGGATGGGAGGGGTGGTCAGACGGAAAGACAGGCTGAGAAAAGGGGGGCATCTCAGAGTGACACAGGCAAGAAGATTATAGAGGACAGGCAGACTGATGGTCATGATTAATAGGCAGAAGGTAAAAAAAAAGTTTGAACAAGAAAAGTCAAATGCACAAAGAAGTAGATACAAGAAGACAAGCGCTCAGGCTGACAGTTCGACTGTGACCAGAAAGACCAGCAATGTATGTTTCTAGTATGCCCATATTCCTGGGCATGCAGTGCAGACAGCGTTGGTTTGGAAGAAACATTGAAAGGGAAGAGACAGGTGTGTGTGTGTGTGTGTGTGTGTGCATGTGTGAGAAACACAGACTACAGAAAAGCAGAGCAGTGCTTGCGAGTGTATGTTGAGCATCTGTGTGCCCATATGCCTGTATACCAAGCAGCACACAGAGATGCCTGTAAACTGCATATTGATTTTTCAGGCTGCTAAAAGCAGTCTAGACGTTTGGGCATTGATCCTGAAATTGGATGTTTTATTTCTTTTTATTGAAACAGTTTCAGTTACTCAAAGTAATGGTAGTTCTTATTAGCAAAGGAGGAAGGGGAAAATGTCGGAACAAAAATAATGGTGGTTATTGTAGCTTAACAAATGATTGGGAACTAATGCTTATGAACATTTAATGAGGGGTAGGCTTGATTAAAAACGTGCAATATTTCTAAACTTCTCTATTTTTGCCTGTCAGGTTTTCTCCTCATTGTCTGGGTACATCTGTGTCAGAGTGGGTGCAGTAGATGTCTTGCATTGGGAAAATTGTTCCCATGTTTAAGGGGCTTAACCCCATGTTCCCGACCGATCTATGTATTGGTGTATGAATGCATATGTGACTTGGTTAATATGGGTAAAATGATAAAAGAACTGTATAAATTAAGTTTTTTTTAACAATATACTGTATTTCTCTTCCTGTTCTGAATTTGTTCAAACATTAACCTCAATTTTTTTTTTTTTTTTTTTACTTTTATATGATAATCCGAAGCAAATGGGTGCATATTTGTGTAGTGGAAGGACATCACAGATGGTTACTGAAAATGTTATGCTCATTTGCATTCAGATCCTCTTTAGTCAATGCATTGAAGAACTACTTTAGTGCGATAAAGTCTTTTGCAATGTGTTTCAAAGTTGAGTGTGATCATTGCAGTTATAAAACTTCATAATCTGAATTATGTGGAGCATGTCGAAACTGAACAAACGTGGGCTTAAAATAGCCTTGTGAAACCCTACATTTGATCTTTATTTGTTTTAAATTTGAACAAAGCAGTCTTTTGAGAGATTCGCATCAGTTAAGCTCTTTATCAGAAATTTAAAACCAAATTCTTTGTGTGTTTAATTCAGCTTTTTTTTGTCAGTTTTATGCATTTTCAAATTTATCATCTCTTTTCTTTAAAGTTCAGTCAATGCTCAGTTAGATTTATGCTGAAAACACCGTGGTGGCACATTGGTTTTCTTTTTTTTCTTTTTCAATCTTTGTTGTGCATTGCCTTCCAACTGCATCTAAGGTGTGAAACTATGAAAAGATATTTTCGACGAGCGCATTTGTGTGAACATGCACACAGAACAGAGAAATTTTGCTTGCCTCTGTGGAAACAGATGCAGGTGAGGGCTTTAGATGCAGAAAGCCTCCAAACAGAGAGACATTAAAAAGCCAACGTTCCTCTCTGGTGAGATGCAGCTCCCACGCTTTCTCTGTCTTATTCTTTCTGTGTCTTTCGATAGAAAATGCCACTTGCTGTGTGCTTTTATCTAACTGTACCTGAAGGTGTAAAAACATGACACGATTTGTCGGAATTTGGCCCCAATTAAGCCGCCTTACTTACATTTCCAAGATATGGATTTTACAACCATTTTCTCTCTACTCAACAGGCCGTGAAATGTGGCTTAGAGGGAAACTTTGTAATTATTTTAGTTATCTGTGGGAACCCTGCATGGTTTCTTTGTCCCCTTTAATATGGGGAGGGCAAATAGATATTCAGCATCCCCCTTGTGTCATTGCTTATTGTTCGGTATATAACTGCTAATATAGTCAAAGTGGTGAAAAGTTCTTAATAATGGGTATTTGTGGTTTTGACTGTTATTTAGTATGGTTTAGGTATATTATTTATTGAACTTTTATTTTGTTGGTAATTTTTTTCACCTATCTGTCCAGCACTGTGTATGTATCTTCCCTTCACCTTTTAGAAGCAGCATTTTTACGTGTTTTGTTGGGAAACTTACATTCCAATTGAATATTTCTCTCTTTACACAGAACTTCATTCACCTCTTTGGAGTTCTTGTTGCTGCAGGAGATCCATTGGTTTGACTGCTCTCAGTTTCAGAATAAAGCAAATGAGGAATGGATGGAGGAACAAATAGAGAAAAAAAAAATGCAACTCTAAGCCCCTCCTAAAACAAGAGCTTGACCTGGTATACACAAATACCAGACAAAACTAGAGAACTATTCGACGCTTTGCTTGCACATGTGAGACACCTTCACTCAGATATATTTGCATTCTGTCAAGAAGTTGAGCTCCATTATGTATATAAAATACCTTCTTCAGACACATGCAAATATGGCGTACGAATACGTCATGAGAAAAACATGTTTGTGAAAACTGCCTCCAGGCAATGGTGCAATCCAGAACCGCATTCATGCAATATAGAAATGTCATAGGAGAAAGTCATTAGCATTCTGGGAAGAGTGGATGCATGAAGTGTTGTGCTTCTTGTAGCTGTCCGCCACTGTGACTGCATTGTAAGTTGGCCAGCTACTGAGTGAAGAGATTTACACACAAGACATGAAAAGCAATCATTGCCAATGTCTTTCTTCTTATTTTCTCATGAGTGT